TTAAAAATTGGGATGTGAACATATGCTGTTTTTAATCAATCCATTAAGTAGTAGCTCTAACAGTGATACACAGCTTTAGGAAGATCTTACATATCCAGAGGTAGGAATGACTGAAAACTGATATTCTGAAGTACCTGCAACTCTCATGATAAGATACTGTGGTTTCTATTGGTGATGAAGTTATATAGTTACTGCTATCAGAGATTATTGCTTACATTCACAGTTGGAGAAAATGTTAATGCTCAGCTAGCAGCTTAAAAAGATAAAGTGCCATTTTTTCCCTACCCAAATACATGCTCCCCCCAGTTGTCTACACAGACCACCTAGACTCCAAACTAAGACCCCTCACCTTGGTGTTGCCTTTCCTGTCCCAGAGTTGTGCATTCAGCAGGAGAGTGCATTTACGGTCTGTCCTGCTGCATTCCTCCCTTCTATTTAAATGGCATATTACATATTTAACACCCTGTTGATTGACATATCAGATAAACAAAGCCAGACAGTGAGCTGCATTGAACTGAGGCATGTGAGACCAAAAACCCCCAAACAACAACAACAACAAAAAAAAAAAAAAAAAAAAAACTGCAGAGAAATTAAACTTTGAGAGTTTGGTCTACTCTTCCTGGGAAGTTTTCTGGTGGCAGTGAGTGGTTGGGTTCAGTGGTTGGTTCCGTTGGTCGTGTTCATGGTGGGTGATGAGGGCATTAAGGTTTGGAAAAAGTAGTTTGGAGGGTCTCTGACTTTATTTCCTCTACTTCCACAGCCACCCTTTGATGGGGAAGATGAGGAGGAGCTGTTCCAGGCCATCATGGAGCAAACAGTCACCTACCCCAAGTCACTTTCCCGGGAGGCTGTGGCCATCTGCAAGGGGGTGAGGATCCCCACTCCCAGCTTCTTCAGACTCATGATCCATGCCCCCTTTGTGGTCTGTCTTTAAAAAGGCTCCCATTCCTCAAGTGCCTTTACCCCCATCTTCTTGGAAACTGGTGGAATGCACAGGTTTTGTTAGAATCACCATGTGCTGCTCTTCTTGCACCCACTCCCTGGCTCACGGCAGGAAGTGCTGAAAGGCCAGGGCTTGTGTCTCCAGAACTTGGTGAGTCAGGTAGACTGAACTCCTGCAGCTTTTGTGTTCAGGGGGACTCTTAGAAGAGTCACCAAGATTGTGACCTCAGTCTTCTCCTCCAAGGTGGTGGAGTTACTGCAGGAGGACCATGGGGTTCTCTGACCATGGGTTTCCAAGAAGTGTCAGCCGCTCCTGCTTGGGTGTCTCCACATCCTCTGACTCGCTCTGGGTCTCTGTCTCATACCTCTGCCTCCATCTGCATGTGGTGGCCTTCTGGGTGATTCTTGGTGTTTCCTCCTATATCTCTGTCCACACTTTGACATTGTCCCCCTCTCCCGGGTCTCCACTGCCCTCTTCCCCACTCGTAACTGCACACTGTGGATCTCTTGTTCTGCCTTCTCTGGGTCTCTGCCCTCTGCCTCTCCATGCTCCCTCACTCTGACTCTCTATTCCTCCTTTTCTCTGGGTCTCCAAACTTCTCTCCCTCCCCCTCCCCCTTCCCCTTTGGGATTCCCCCCATGTCTCCACTCCTCTCTTTCTGGGCTCCCCTCACACCTTGATTTTTTTTTTTTTTTTCTGTTTCTCGGACTGTCCTTTGGTCTCCTGGTCTGGATTCCATCTATTCCGTTCCACTTGTTTTCCCTCTTCCCCTTCCGCTCTCCCTTTCTTTCTTGCCCCTCCTCCCCATCTCCGTTCCCCTTGCTGTTCTTCTCCCTCTGGATCCGGTGCCTGTGTCTGTTCCTCTGTGGCCTCCCTGTCCTGGACTCTATCTGTCCGTCTGTCTGTCTCTCTCTGCTTCCCACAGTTCCTGACCAAGCACCCAGGGAAGCGCCTAGGCTCCGGGCCGGACGGGGAGCCCACCATCCGGGCGCACGGCTTTTTCCGCTGGATTGACTGGGAGCGGCTGGAGCGCTTGGAGATTGCGCCTCCCTTCAGGCCACGCCCGGTCAGTCGTCCTCGGAGCCGCCAGCCTAGGTTCCCGAGTGGGGGAGGGGGCACTCCTGAGCTTTATCTCCTTTACGGGGAGAGGACCCCTCTGCGGAGACACCCTGGACCGGGGTGCGGAGACGATGCAGGGAGTGTCCAGACTCTGGAGGAGGCGGGAATGGCATTCCGGGACAGGCCCCCCAGGAGCCGGCAGAGCTTGACTTGCCCTTCCTACTTTCCCTCAGTGTGGCCGCAGTGGCGAGAACTTCGATAAGTTCTTCACGCGGGCGGCGCCAGCCCTGACCCCGCCGGACCGCCTGGTCCTGGCCAGCATCGACCAGGCGGATTTCCAGGGCTTCACCTACGTCAACCCGGACTTCGTACACCCGGATGCCCGCAGCCCCACCAGCCCGGTGCCTGTGCCCGTCATGTAATCTCACCTGCTGCCGCTAGGTGTCCTCAATGCCCCCTCCGCTCGCCAGTCGCAGCCCCCACTTCTCGGCCCACTTCCCCATTCTAGATCCTGCCCCCAGCATTCTGGCCTCTGCTCCCATGGGTTCTAGATGCTCCTCACAAGCATTCCTGACATTCTAAACTCCATGGAGTCTCTAGAGCCTTCCTGTGTTCTAGATTCTGCTGAGCCCTATATTGTCCCCCACCCCCAGCGTTCTGGATGCTCTTCCACTGGCTTCGAGAACCACACTACCATCCCAACTCCATGGGGTTCTAAACTCCATCTTGGTAGTTCAATGCCTCTTTCTCTTACCCCACCCTGGGGCAGTAGTCTCTTGGGGTTGCTTGGTCCAGACTCGGATTAGATCCACCTCTATCCTCTAGGCCCCTCCCACTTTGGCCCGAGTTGTAGACTAAGAGGAAGGCTGTGCTCCCATTCTCCAGGCCACCTCCCTATCACATCGGGTATTCCTGGGATCTATGGAGGATTCAGCTTTTGTTCTAGACTCCCCTGTCCCCAACCCACTACTGCTCACCTGCCCATGCATGGCTCCAGTTTTACTGGGAACCTCTCACCCCCTGCCCAGTGCCTGCCACTCTCTGGGACTCTCTCCCCTCCTCCCCCACCTCCCCCTCCTCTTCCCTTAGCCTCTCCCACCCGGACACAGCTGCTGGAGAATAAATTTGGGATGCTGATGCTGAAGTGTTGGGATGTTTTCTTGTAAGCTTGGAGAATGAAGGGAATGCGGAAGTGGGACAATGACGGTACATAGAAGCAAACAGAGGCGGGGAGGGGGGTTGCACACAGAGAGAGGGAAAGTAAAGAGTCTCCCCGCCAAAAAGAGAAGATACCCACAGCATGAGAGAGGGAAGAGAAAAGACCCCCGAGAGATAGGGTACACAGAAAGAGAGCCAGCCTGCTCTAGAGAGGACCAAAGTGGATACTCAACACAATGAGAAATGTATACCTAGACCATTCAAAGCACAAGGTAGAGATCCCTTGCACAGAGACACGGCATCTACGTATCTATCCAGAGCAACATGCAAGGGCGTGCGTGCACACACATGCTTACGCACACACACATACCCACACACCAAGATCCAAACCTGGGAGGTCCTGGGAAAAGACATGAAAGGTTGGCCTCCTAAACAGAGACCTGAAGACTTGATTAGAGAAAGAGACCTCACAATGGAGAAATCAAAACAACCAGAACCCTGCAGCTCAGTGGGCGAGTAAGTCAGAAGGAAGGTAGAAGTGTCCTCTGGCCTGTCCCCCCCACCCGACCCACTCGTAACTGGGGGACAGGAGGGGAGTAGAGGGGCCCGTCCATAAGGACTACACTTCCCAGCAGACACTGCGACAGACCCTTCCCTCAGGTGCGGCCCCTGGCCGCCAGGGCTGATGGGGAATGTAGTCCCTGGACGGGACAGGCCGGCAGAGTGGTATGCCTGTCTATGCGTTTGGAGGGGATTGAGCCCCAGAGCTTCGCAGGCCCCCTTGAGGGCCTGGCATACTTTCTGGTCTGCAGGTTCCTGGGTTTCTGGGCCCCAGTCTAACTGGATGCTGAGGCTTTCTCTGTCTCCCGTATCATTGCCGCTGTACCCCCCATTCTATGCCCGCAGGCCCCAGCCCCCGCTTCGACCCTCGGCGGGCGGCCTGCCCCTTTAAGAGTGGCCCCGCTGACATCACGGCGGGGGGGGGGGCGGGTTGGCCCCGCTCCCAGCTCCGCGGCGGCTGCAGGACCCGGCTCTGCTCCTCTGCGCCCGCCTGCTGCTCTGGGGACCCCGGCCCGGGACGCCCCCTCCCGCCTCCTCCAGTCCCTGGCCTGGCTAGAGTTCCAGTCTTTATCAGGGAACCCCACCACCACCCCCGGCTCGCCCCTGCTCTCTCTCCTTCTCAGGGTCTGTCTCTGTTTCTCTTCTGCCTCTTTCTGTCTCTGTCTCTCTCTTCCCCAAGCTCAAGGTCTCTGGATCTCAGCATCTCTCGGCCCCAGGCTTTTGAGCGCTCTCTGCCTCTTTCTTTCTCTTTCTGGGTCTCTGACCTCTCCACTCCCTCGGCCTTAGAATCGGAGCCTCGGTAGTGGAGGGGGTAAGGGATCTTAAAGTCCTCTGTCTCTCCCTTTCCCTGTCTCCTACGGTCTCAGGACCCGTGGGTCCCTGACTCTCCCAGCCTCAAGGTCTCTCTCTCTCTCTCTCTCTCTCTCTCTCTCTCTCTCTCTCTCTCTCTCTCTCTCTCTCTCTCTCTCTCCTGTCTCTCTTTGTGCCTGTCCCTCCCGGGCGCTCTGCCTCTGTTCCCATTCTCTCTCCCTCTCTGCCTCCCCCATCCCCAAGGCCCATCTCCCTCCCTCCCTCCCTGCATCCTTCCCCCTCCCTCCCCGCCCCTCCCCTCCTCCGCAGTAGCCAATGAGCGGCCGCCGGTCCCTGCTCCCGGCTCCGTCCGCCGAGTGAGGCCGCGGGCGCGGGGGGTGGGGGGTGGGAGGCCGGGAGGGGGCCGGGACGCCGGGCTCCGGGGCGGGGGCGGGGGGCGCTGGCACCGGCGACCCCGGTGGCGGCGGCGGCGGCGGCCGGGGGAAGCCGCGAGGCCGGTCATGCGGCTGCGGGGCCCGCGGCCCGGAGCGTCCGCCCAGCCCTGAGCGAGGTGAGCGCGAGGGGAGGGTCCTGGAAGGCCGGGGGGGGGGGGGGCCCTGGAGGAGAGTGGAAGCCGCAGCTGGGACCGAAGGGGCCTGAGTGGCGGCTGGGGTGGGACTCCGGCGGTCAGGACCCCCGAATTCAGGAGGCTGGGGGGATGTAGGGGAAATTGGGCCTGGCGATTCCCGGAGGACCGGGTCCGAGGGTCCCGGAGCCGGGAAACTATACTCCCAGCGCCGGTGTCTCGGAGACCGTTGCCACTGGGGAGGGTCTAGGCAGAGTCCTTGAGAGGCGGTACCTGGAGTGAGGGTGGAGGGCACAGGCCGGAAAAGCCGGGTGTGAATCTGGAAAGGGGTCCCCAGAAAGGGGGAGTTACCGTCTCCCCAAGAGATTGAAGGGAAAAAAAAAAACAAGAAAAAAAAAAAAAAAAAAAAAAAAGAGATTGAAGGGAGAAGGAGTTCGGACTGCGGGTTTGAGGAGTAGGACCCCAGGGACTCAAATGCCTGGGGTAAAGGACGAGAAGGAGGCTCCAGGCCTGGGGGGAGGGTCCCATAGGAGGATGGGCTGCAGAATAAGGAGCTCTCGGCCGGCCAGGTAGAGGGGAGGCTGGAGCGAGGAAGGCGCGTGTTCGAAGGGGTGCAGACCGGCAAGATCCCAGCTGGGTGTGGAGGCAGACAGAAGAAAGTGTCAGCTACCTGGACAAGAGAGTCGGCGACGGGGTTTAGGATGCTTGCTTCCCAACTGAGAGGACTGGAGCCGAGCAGGCAGCGGGCGGTCAAGCCCTGGAGCCAGCCGGTGGGGGTTGGGAGAAAAGCTAGCTAGAGCTTTGCCAGTCCCTGATCCCTGGGGGGGATCTTGATGCTGTGAATAGGAGGGTGGGGGCTTGTCTTAGACTCCGGGGTCCTTATTGGGGTGGGACAGAGTTTCAAAGTTTCAAGAATTCTAGTTAAGGAAGGTGGAGTCTCACGTCTTGGTTACATTGTTTGGCGAGTATTTAGGGGGTCTCAAACTTTTCTGTCAAAAAGATGGATAGAGCTGGTATTCGGGGATGTTGAGGTCTCTGGCTGAGATAGGCTGAGGATCCCAAGGTGAGCCCCCATATCATGGCACTGTGTGGTTTAGGGGAAGGGGGATATGAGGATTGCAGGTGAGGAACTGGAAATCCTTCCGTTTCATGTTTAGGGGCCTCCTGGTTGGAATATCTGGGTTGCCAATTGGACTTTGGGAGACCATAAGTATGAACTGGGGATTTCTTGTTCAGGGGGTTCAGTGTTGGTATCTGCATTCCATGGTTGATGTTGAAGAGTGTCTGTTATTAGAAGTCCTAGCATGAGAAGTCAGGGGCAGAATCTCTGGTAAGGAATTTTTGGGTCATTTGATGGGGGATGGGATCCTAAAATTCCTAGTTCTCTGATTTCTAGCCAGCAGATGAGGATCCTAGTTTTACTGGGATGCTCTGGTTGGGATGCTGGGTCAAGAGTACCCCCAGCTTGTTGTTTAGGCATTCTGGAGTCTCTAGTCAAGATCATGGTTCCAGGTCTCTGGGTCTCACTGTCCTGGGATCCAGAAGCCTGTAACCAAGACCCAGTATCCCAGGTTCAGGGGCTGCCTGATCTGGGAGGGTGAAATTAGGGTTCTGGGATTTTGGCTCTGGATTGTGGCAGTGATCTTAGATTGGAGTGCCAAATTGAGGTCAAGGCACAGGATCAGCTTTAGAAGGTCATGGGTCAAGTTCATGGTGTTAGAATGGGGTGTTAGGGTCAAGTCCGAGAGTTTAAGCTTTGATGGGGTCTCTGCTCAAAGTCTCAGGTAAGCTTGAAGTCAAGGGTCTGAAACCAAGATATGGGGGTTAGGAATTCTTGATTAGTGACCCACTTAGGGGATTTCTGCAGTTCAGAGACAGGGTCCAAAGGAAAAATATCGTGGCATTGGATCAGGACATGGGTTAGTTTCTGAATAGGTCAAGTTACACAGCATCCAGAATCTGAGCCTACTGCACCAGGTGCAGGCACCTAAGTCCTGGCTTAATGTTGAGATGATGGGTACTGGTCTGGGAGCTTAGGTCAGGACAGAATAACGGTTGAAGCTGCCTGTCAGCCTAATAGTTCTCTGTCACCAAGTCAGGCTCAAGGTTGGGGACTCTGATTCTAAGACCAGGTTCTCAGTTCAAGGCAGGAGGTTAGGGCTGGGAGTCTGGTGATGGAATTGAAAATCTGGAATTAGAATTTGTGATAAAAGCCATGACATTTGGAACCAGGTCCAGGCCTGGGATAAGTAGATTTGAGGCTTGTGGTTGGAAATCTAAACCTGGGGTTAGGAACCTGGAGCCAGAGCACAGTTAGCAGATACCAGAAGGCCCATCCTGAGGTTGAGGGTCAACGGTTGGTGGCTCCAGTCAGTATGCAGGGCCGGGTGGTGGCTCAGGACACAGAATTCGTGTTTGAGAGTTTGGTTGTGGAGTTAGCTTTCTGGCCAGGGCCCCGTATACCAACTGGCCCCACAGGTTGGGGACTTGGGTGAATCCGCTCGTGGTTCTGCACCTCAGATTTTGGTTCCGCAGGCCCCGCAGGGCGCCCCCCGCCGCTGAGGATGAGTCACTGCAGCAGCCGCGCCCTGACCCTGTTGAGCAGCGTGTTCGGTGCATGCGGCTTGCTCCTCGTGGGCATCGCGGTCAGCACGGACTACTGGCTGTACATGGAGGAGGGCACCGTGTTGCCGCAGAACCAGACCACCGAGGTCAAGATGGCGCTGCACGCTGGCCTCTGGCGAGTCTGCTTCTTTGCAGGTGCAGCAGCTCACCTGCTCTTTGCCCACCCGTCCAGCCTTGCCTGGGACCCTGAGTACTTATCCATAGTCCCCGTTCCCGAAATCCAGAAGCCGACCCTGCTTCCCTTCTGGAAGCCCAGGTTTCTATGTGGAGCCCGTGCCTAGCCCTTTATTCGCTAGACCAGGAGCCTGATGCTGACAGACTTCAGGTCCTCAGACCCCTGCCCACCCCTGCTCTCCTTAACTCTAGACTCGGTAGTCTGAGTCAGAGTCCCCTGGACAGTTCCAGGGTGACATGGGCCGGATAAAAGAATCCAGCCTTCCGGTTGACCACAGAGACCCCGGCCTTTCAGGAATCCTGACCTGCGTCCTTATTCCTATCGGGTCCTGGAGTCTTCGGTGAACAGTCTACTCTCTGAGGACCCCAGGTCCAGCCCTGCCCTCTTCCAACCAGGTGTCCCCAGGGCAACTCACAAGAACTCCTGATCATCCCGCCTACCCCATCCCCACTCCTAATAACAGAGCAGCCCAGAACCCTCGGGGGAAGTGTGGCATCTCCGTCCTGGGGACGCACTGTCCGTCCTGCCCCTAACGACCTCTCTGGAACGTCCCTGTCATCCTGCCATCTTCGTCTTCCCACCAGGTCGAGAGAAGGGTCGCTGCGTGGCCTCGGAATACTTCCTTGAACCAGAGATCAACTTGGTGACGGAAAACACGGAGAATATTTTGAGTGAGGGGAAGAGGGGGGAGGTGCCCAGAAAACTAGCGGGGTCACGGGAGGAGGGACAACGTTGGGAAGGGGAGGGGTCCAAGAGCAGAGGCTAGAGGAAAACCGAGTGGAGGGAGAAGGGGCAGGTTGAAAGGGCGGGGCCTGGGCGGGGAGGAGTCGCAGGAAAGGGGAGGGGAGGGGTCAAGCCCGGGGTGTGACCTGGAGAAGGGTGGAGTCAGCCGGGAAGTATCAGGAAGGGGAGGAGTCAACGGGGAAGGGGAGGAGCCGAAGGGACCAGGGTGATGAGAGCTTGGGGAGGTGTCCCACTGGAGAGTCCCCCTCACCCTGCCTCTCACTGTCCGCCTCTCCCAGAGACAGTGCGCACGGCCACTCCCTTCCCCATGGTCAGTCTGTTCCTCGTTTTCACGGCCTTCGTCATCAGCAACATCGGCCACATACGCCCTCAGAGGACCATCCTAGCCTTCGTTTCTGGCATCTTCTTCATCCTGTCAGGTGAGCTGAAGGAAAGAACTTGTAAGTTGGGGAAATTGTTTCAAGTGGCCCCTCTCCCACTTAGAAAGCTGTTTCCTTGCTGTGTGTCTTGGGAGGAGTTGCAGAACCTCTCTGAACCCCACTTTCCTTCTCCATGAAATGAAGCTAGCACCGTGCCCACTGCACAGCATTGCTTAGAGAACCAAATCATAGCAGATGCGTATTGGGTGCTAATAAGCTGCCCTGCTCTGTTCTGATACAACAACCCTGTGAGGTGAGTGCTATTAATAGCCCCATTTTACAGATATGGAAGCAAACACTCAGAGGAATGAAGTCATTTGCTGAGGGCCACACAACTAGTGAGAGGCAGAGCTGGGAATCAAAGGCACGCCAGTCGCCTCCAGAGCTGTATTTTTAACCACCACTGATATTTTAGTGATTAACAGTTTACAAAGCTCTTTATTTTCTGTGCAACATTTTAATTTTTCTCAAAGAGAAAGTCAAAAGTTTTGTAGTGAATGCTCATGTGTGCAGGACTTGGGTCAACGATTGGCGTCTTGCTAGATTTGTGTTATCCTATATCTGTTCCTCTGTCTATATTTCTAACCCTCCATTCATCTCTCTTACTTTTTAGATGGGTTTCAAACTAAATTTCAGGTGTCTGTTCACTTAACCCTAAACACTCCACTGTGCGTGTTGTTAGCTAGACTTCTGTATTTGTATACAGTTCTTTTTCCTTTCTTTTGAGGTTAGAGGCTCTTTGTATGATCTCATACTCCTCTCATGATATCTCTCAGAGTTGTTATCATCACTTGCTTGATAAAGCAGGGTCGTGAGATCCAGAATTGTGTAGAGAGTTGCCCAAGAGGGCTGGGGATACAGCTGAGTTGGTAGAGTGCTTGCTCTGCGTGCACAAAGCCTTTGGGTTCAATCCCCAGCACCACACCACACACACACACACACACACACACACACAAAGAGTTGCCCAAGATACCAGACTAAACTGGTACCAGATGACTCAAGGGCTCAGACTTCCAGTAGACTTCACTCTGGATTTTACCCTTCCAAATTTCAGCTCGGTGCAGTCCACTTCAGTCCAGCTTAGCCCAGTGCAGCTCAAACATGGGAGGCCTGTCAGTCCAGTCCAGCTGACCCCAATTCATTCTGACTCAGTTCTCCAATTCCATTTGAATGAATTTGCCACAATTTAATTGAGCTGAAGTCAGGTACTTGCAGCTGAGCTGATGTTTGATAAACAAACCCTGCCGTGTGTCTCACCTCCATGCTGTCCCCCTAGAGCTGCCCTTGGCCTCGTCTTTCTGGTTGACTGTGCAGAGTTGAAGAAGCCTCTTCAGTGTCCCCTCCTCCAGGCTCCTCCCTGCTCCTCACACAGCTCTCTAGCCACACCTCCCCCGAGCCTTCAACCTCGCCTGAGGAGACCTTTTCCAGGGAAACCAGGGTGCAACCTCTGAGCAAACTCAGATCACGGCATGTGGAGCCAGACTGAGCTAAAATAAGACATGTAGAATATCACCATCCCAGAGTGTCAGAGCAGCAAGGTCTCATCATTTTTCAGATAGAAAAATAGTGGCCTAGAGAGAGAAAGTGGGGCAGGAGTAGGTAGCATGGGGAGTTTTATTCAACCTACCCAAAAACGTTAGGAGGAAAGCCCCATTGTTTGCAGTTCACAGAAATGGAGAGGGACTAGAGGAGGTGACAGCCAGTCAATGGAACTGGGATTAGAACCAAGGGTATTCTCCCAAACCACGTGTTCACACACCACTGCACCAGGAACTGCCTGCCCAAGGTCAAGCCGAGAGTCAATGATGCAGTCAGGGCTGGACGTCAGACTTCTGATCCAACAAGAGTCACTTGGAAGAGATCGAACCCTATGTCTGAAACTCTTCCTTGAGTTTATTTCCCAGACTACAACCAAAGTGTTCTATCCCAGGGAACCATTCCTGTGTCCTCAGGCTTATGGGGTACAGTGGGTAGAGGCACAGGAGGCGAACCTAGAATGACCGGGGTCCAAATCCTACAACTAACACTTCCTAGGTGACTTAAGACCTTCTCTTGCTGAATTGTTGCCAATAACACTTCATTTATGGACCCTGAAATTTTAATTTGATGTAATTTTCATGTGTCATGAAATAGTGTGCTTCTTTTATTTTTATTTTTCCCCACCAGTAGACAAAAAAAAAAAAAAAAAATTCTTAGCTGGTAAACCATACAAAAACACTTGGTGAACCAAACTGTAGTTGGCCAACCCCTGATCTAGATCATGGGTGTAAAGTGCCTGGACTGAAAGAGTGCGTACTCAACATATAGGGGAAATAAATGAACAAACACTGAAATGCAGAAGTAATAGCAGTCACACAGAGTGCCGTGGGGCCAGCAGTTCTGAGCACTTTATACAAATAAGTTATTTATTTGTCTTGACTTACAAGGCAGGTACCATTATTATCTCCATTTTACCACTGAGGAAACAGAAATACTCAGAGGTTAAGTTTTTTGCATTAAAAATGGATTCCAACCCAGGCCTCCCACACCATGGCATTACCCTGCCCCACTAAAATTTTAAAAATTCTAAAAACAAAGGACCTAACACCAGTATCTTAGATCTTGGAACAGAATGACCTGGTCCAATCACCTCATGTTCACAAAGAGGACTCTGAGTCTCAGAGACACACAGGGGTTGCCCGGGGAGGGTTTATTGATGGATTTGGCACTTGGTTCTAGAGAAAGCAGTAAGGGCTGGGGCCGGGGAGGGAGAGGGGCATTTCTGGGGGTTAAACATCCCTCAGGAACTGTTCTGGGCATGGACTAGGGGAAGGAGACTGGAAGTGGTGTCACAGAGGAGGTGGCTCCTATAGTGGCCCATGCAGGGGCCGATGAGGTCTGTGTGGGATGGAGGTGTGGGCATAGGGGCAGTTGGACAGTTGTAGGAGAGAAGGACATCACAAGGGGATCAATGGAACCACATGACTTGCTGGGGGTGGGGTAGAGGGCCTTGATTTTCTTTTTCTAGGCCATAAGAGGCAAGCACATGCACAAGCGTACACACACTGCTCTCACCCATGACCTGTACCTCTGCTCACTCGTGCAGTCATGGGGCATCCTGTGTGCCAGACCCGGTGCTTGGCCCTGGAGATACAACCCACTCTAAACAGGAATCCAGATATAATCTGGGCCTTGGTCAGAGCCTGTCACCACCAACTCGATTCCTTTCGGTGGACTTAAATACAGAATGCCTACTCCAGCCCACAAGCTCTTCCACGATCTGGCTGCTGCTCAACCTCTGACCCCACTTCCTAACCCACTGGCACTCTTGACTCAGAACATGGATCGCAGGCTGATCTTGGGATGTCTAACCCACATTCCTCTCTGTGTGGGTCACTTGCTCCTCGTCCTCAAGGGGCTCAGACCTTTTTCTCTTCAGAGTTGCCTTCTCTAACAAATCCAGCAGCCCTTATGTATCTTCATAGTATTTACTGCTGTTCTCGTCTCGTGTGTTTTCAGCCTCTTTCTACCAGAATGTAAACCCCAAAGGGCACGGACCTTTCAAAACCTGTGCTTGCTTGTCTGCAGAGCCTGGATGAGTTGCCGGTGTGATGTAGACGCTAGAGTGTTTGCAGAATGGAGGAGTGTAGAAGGGGGAGTGACCGCTCAGGGCGTTCTGGAAAAGGGGAGATGCATTCACCCAAGACAGTCGGGTGGCATGGGCAGTGGCCAGGGAGGGCTTCCAAGAGGAGGTGGCACCTGCGTTGGTGCTGAAAGGGCAAGGGAGGATTTTTCCAATGAAGAAAGGAAATTGCCTTGTATGGAAATGTTCATAGCATGTGTAGAGGCACGGGAGCAGCTGTCCATGGTGCTGAAACCCCATTGTTCTGAAGCCAGGTTGGTTCTATTCAGCTTGATTTTGCCTACTGTGATCTAAGAATTATGGAGCAGGTGTAGTCGAGGGAGTGGGAAGAGAGTATGAGAGCTAGATTACAGAGACAGGAAGGGGGGAGGGAGGGAGGGGTGTGTGTGTGTGTGTGTGTGTGTGTGTTTTGGAGAATCAGAGCCATGGTGAAATGGCCAGGATGGAGAAAGGAAAGAATGGCTTATTTTCTAAAAAGCCTTTTCCTCATTGGAGATATTTGCTACAGACCCTGCTTCTGGCTCTGCTGGTGGGGACTGTTGGCTACTTAGTACTGTAAGGTAAAGCAGGGGCTCACCTCCAGGCTGGAGTGGGTGGGAGGCAGGGTCACCAGCAGGAACTGGATCAGCCCTGCACTTCCAGGCTGAAGGTGGATGCCTCCCCTGTGGGAAGCAGGGAGCCGAGAGGAGCTGAGAGCACAGAGGGCTAGAGTCCATCCTGTTTTTAGAGAGAACCAGTATCTGAAGCAGGATGATAAAGGTTTTGAAACAATGACACAGGCATAGAGAATAAGGGCCAAGCTGGGCTAGGCACCTGGGGCTGCAGGGAGGGTTTTGATACATGAAGAACCCAGAAATAAAGTGGACCATTTGGTGGGTGATGACTCTTTGTGACGTGGAGAGAGAGGGATGGAGATGACCCCTGCATTTGGTTTAGGCACTGAGTGGGGCTGGCATCTGGGCTTCCTTGGTATTCCTTCCCTGTAAACCTGCCTGTCTTTCAACCCTGTCTCAAGGGCTTTCCACTGGATAGCACTTCTCAGGCTCTCTCTTCCCAAGTGTCGAAATTATGGAATACTAGAGGTCGGAAGTGCTATGGTGTCCAGAGTGAGGAAAGTTTCATTATTAGAAGGGATGAATGAATAGTGGGATTTGGAGTGAATGAAAGAGCAGGCCAGGCACCGTGGTGCCTGCTTGTAATCCCAGCTACTCCAGAGGCTGAGGCAGGAGGATGGCAAATCCTAAGCCAGCCTCAGCAACTTAGCAAGATTCAGAATAAAAAAATAAAAGGGTCAGAGTGTAGCTTAGAGTGTTACCTGGGTTCAATCTCCAGTGCACAAAAATATATGTTAGTTAAGATTTAAAAGAAGAGACAAAGG